AGACCACAATTGGGCTCTTTGGCATCAACTCAACTTGCTGTGTTTGGAGGAAAAAAAATGCTGATTATGACCCTGAGAACACCATCCCTACAGTCAAGCACGGAGGTGGAAACATTATGCTTTAGGACAGTTTCTCTGCCGACCTTGCCGCATTGAGGGGCCAATGGACGGGACCATGTATTGTAAAATCTTGGATCAGCACCTTCTTCCCTCAGCCAGAACACTAAGGATGGGTCGTGGATGGTCTTCCAGAATTACAATGACCCAAAACATACCAACAGAGGAATGACTCAAGAAGCACATAAAGGTCCTGGAGTGGCCTAGCCAGACTCCACACTTTAATCCTATAAAAAAAAATGTATGGTGGGAGCTGAAACTTCGAGTTGCCAAGCGACAGCCAGGAAACCTTAAGGATTTAGAGAAGATCTGTAAAAAAATCCCTCCTGAGATATGTGCAAACCTGGTAACCAACTACAAGAAACGTCTTACCTCTGTGCTTGCCAACAAGGGTTTCTCCATCATGTACTAAAATATGTTTTGCTTGGGGGTCAAATACTTATTTTATTAAACTGAACTGCAACTCCATTTGTATCATGGGGTTTTGTTTTTATTTTTTTTCTGGATTTTTGGTTGATATTCTGTCTCTGTCATTGTTTGCCACTTACAAATAAATAAACAAACTTACAAAATCTGCAGGGGATCAAATAATTATTTTCCCCACTGTATGTGGTCAGCATGTTCTATCTCCTGTTAGACTGAAGTTCACCATCACACCTTTTTAGATTTTCACATCCAGATCAAGCTAACAATTCCTGAATTGACAGCCTTTATTTGTTCATGTATGTCCACTACAGATAACTGCAGTTGTAAGCTGTGAAAAGAATGGGTTTGTGTAAAAAAAACAAAAAAAAAAACCTCCCTACTAACCTCTGTTGCAGAATCGGTGTGATGCTGCAGCTTTCACACACTGGCTCTAAAGCCAAGAACTGGGTGATCACATGACCACTGACCGCTTGTTCTTGGTCCACTTGGAGCAGAGTACAGTCACCACTCTCTGCTCTGCTGCTCCAGCACTCACTGGAGTGCTGCACAAGGGTGGCGTCAGGTGCAGCTGGCTCCTGCTCGCAGCCACATGCTAAGAGGTGGAGCTAGCTGTCAGTCAGGCAGCTGGGTGGATCCCGACAGTATTGTCTGGATCCTTCCAGAGCCTAGAGCAGCTTTAACATGTCCGCTTATAGTATGCAGTAGTGAACCATCAGTTGACTCTTGGTCATAGAAGGGCAATAGTAAGGGCGCCTCTTGACCCACAGGAGATGCATGGCCAAAAAGGTTTGCACCATACTTTTGTTTTAAGGATATTGAAGAATTGTTGGTTATTGTATTTGTATCCAAGGACCAGCTTGACCTTTTTTGTCGTTCTTTCAATTCTGTGCCTCCGACTATATATTGGGAGAACCTTAATCTTTACATTTGTATGGTAATTGAGAGTTTGTAGAATCCGCAGTCTTCAGAATCCAGTGCAGTGTTTCTTGCCTACACTCAATTAGGCAGATTCTGTTCAACATGGATATTCCAAATGACTCTAAGCACTAATCAGGAGACTTATCTCTATAGGGGTGCTACTGCATGAGAGGAGGAACACCTGACCTTAATTTGCATTTTTTTTTTTTGTTACTGAGAACATCTTCCCACTGATATGGTGAGAAAGTGATACATATAAATGTCGATGAAGAGTGTTGTGATGTAGAAGTTACTTTATATTTAATAGTTGAGACTTTAGAATGACATAATTGGGCAGACAGTAGGTGTGCTTTTGTCACTGCATTTTACCAGACTCCCACAATGAACAGCTGTCTTGCGTGTTAAATTCATTTCACCAAGCTGTTAATAACGCATGCCATGTTTTCACGTATTGATTTAAGCTTTCTCCTCTGTATGGTTAAAATGTTTGTTTGACTGCCATCTCTTACATACAAATAAATAGGCTAACGCGGCAAGTGTTGGCAGTGGAATACCAAACTAGTACATTTCAAAGCCAGCATTATTTTGTCTCCATAGTAAATTTATTTATTTCAGGTACTTTTATAGTGCCGTCAATTTATGCAGCGCTTTACACATATATTGTACATTCACATCAGTTCTCGCCCTCAAGGAGATTACAATCTGGTTCCCTTACTTACATTCACACACTAGGGCCAAATTAGACAGGAGCCAATTAACCTACCAGCATGTCTTTGGAGGGTGGGAGGAAACCGGAGTACCCAGAAGAAACCTATAATGTATTCTAGCTGAAGACCTAATCCTGGCTGTACAATGTTGATAATATTTTGTAGCTTCATTTACTGTAGTGAACAATGTCTTAGTTTACACTTGAAGTCAGGAGGTGGTAAAAATAGGTGGCTGAGCCACGGTTATAGTACACCCTGGCTGCCTGTAATGGCATCCAGATAGGGGTTGCATGCTTGCTGCGGCACTGCAACAATACCCGTCATGCTTGACAGGCAGTACTGCAGCTGAACTTGACCCATTCAAGTGAATGGGTGGTGCTGCACCTGCAAGCCAAACGTTATGGACCTAAAGTTTAATTGCAGAGTGAATTTCTGCTTTAAATCATTCAAACAAAAAGGGATCTTTTGCTTTTTTATAGACATGGCACATTTGTATTACTTTAAATTGTCACAAACCTACATTTTAGTACTTTTAAACTGACAAAAACCTAGTAGATTTAAGATGAGCAGTATGATGAAAAAAGTTCATAAATGGAAGATTGCTCAGAACAATAAAGGTAGCCAATGGTAAATGCAAAGTTAACGCAAATCACAGCTGCAAGGACCAGGACAAGGCGTCCTGCGTAAACGGAGTCCCTCAAGTTATAGCTTCCATGTCACAGCATTAGAGCTTTAGTGATTGGCCCAGCCAGTCATAGAATGAATCACATGCTGCTTCATTCCCGGATGTACTGGGGGTTCTCTTTGCTCCCACCAGCTGAACATCCTGAGTGAAGGAAAGGTGAACAGGTATTGCTGAGAAGATGGGGATTGAAGTAAACCTGTTGCTTTGCCTGATGCCAGATTGCATCACATTTCAGTGGTTCTGATAATGTGGTTTTTCTTACCAAGAACAACGTAGTGAGTTTGATGACTGTTATTCACCATCAAGTGTTCCCATCTTCAACTGGATGTAATACATTCAGATATATAGAGGTAAATAAAACTAAAGGCAGCATCTACTACATGCAACTTAAAGGAAATCTATGGTCAGACCATACACTTTCATTATATAACATCAGCATTGTAATAGTAATACAACCAATAGTTACATTTGACAATACAATATAATCTCCTTCCATATTGTGATTGTGGTCTGCTAGCCATCTCTTACCACAATTTCTTGGATTCCCTGCATGCTTTTTAGCTTCCTTGCAGTTTACTTTGTTTCTAAAGACTACATATCCCATGATACCTTGCTCCCTGTAAATGTGTGGGATGTTTAAAAAGTTCAAGATCATTCAGATAAATAGGAGTAGGCTAGAAATAATTTAATTTTAAATGTGTAAATTAATTTAATTGAATGATTTGAAATTTTGACCATAGATACGCTTTTGGTAATTCTAAACTGTGACGACATGCTCAGATGGGTAGCTATTAACTGTTTTAGGGCTTTTTTTAGATGTAGATTTAAATCTTTTTTCTTGTAAATTAAAAAATGTGCAATGCTGTCAGATTTTTTTTTTTCCCTTCCACAACATTGGTGTTTTTTTTCTTTTTGTTTTTTTTTTTTTTTAAATGTATTATTATTATTAATAAACTCTGAAGGCGTTTTGCCTTTTTTCAGCAGATATGTTGTAATGCAGGTTTTTGTGTGAATATGAGCATGTGTGTATTTTTATACAGTATGTCTTTTTGCCTTGCTTTTTTGTTTTGAAGTACATGCATGAAAGCAGTTCATAGCTTCAGTACTTGATGAACATTCTCATGTTTTAGAAAATAAAAATACTTTGGAAAAGTGTTTATACCCATAGAAAATAGCTGGGTGCTAGCTGCCTGTTTGATAGAGCACACATGATCAAAGCTCTAGTTTAATCCTTCCACTCTAAGAAGGAGCACGCAAATCAGATTAGTCAATGTGGCAACTTCACATGCATCTGGGTCAAGTAGTTTTGAGGACATGGAAGTTGTTTATCTTGACGTATCAAAGCATGTTCTAGGCTTGACTTCAACTTTGCTTCATGTTTCCATTGCTCAGAATTTATCACAGTTATTAGACCTATTTCCAGAAATCCATATTTTTGCCTTGGTTTTGGTATTTTTGTACTACACTCATCAAACTAATGTGATGGAGAACTATTGCCTATCCATAAAGCTGGTATGTGTAGTATTTCTATATTATTATACAGGATTTATATAGCGTCAACAGTTTGCTCAGTGCTTTACAATATAAAGGGAGACAATACAGCAATGATACAGTTCAATACAAGAGGGTTAGGAGGGCCTGGCTCCTTGGAGTTTACATGTGTATATTTGATCTCAAGCTACAGACTTATTTTCAGCTTTTTAAAGCTGTTCTTCAGAAAGCTAAATAAAAATCCTCCCACTGCAAAGTTTAATTGCTCAGTTATGCCTAGCGGATCAGGAAAAGCAGTTTTGCTTACCTGATCCTCTGCTACTGCAGACTCTTTTGTACTGGTAGACCGGTCCCTGCATTCCAGCAGTCTAAGGTCTTCTGATGTCAAGACCTATGCAGAGCCCATAGCCCTGCACTGGATGTGGGGATGCCAAAGGACATCCACTGTCTGAGCAGAGAGGAGTGCCATTTGCCGCTTACAGGTAAGTAAGTGCTCTTCACATCCTCTAGGATAAACTAGCAGCTCCACTCTAAGGGAGGAATTTTTAACATTTCCAGAGTTCAGTTGCTTGTTGCTGAGAAAATTGCCATGGGATTACTTCTGTAAATGTTCCAAATACACAAGAAAAACTTTTGTTTTAACGTGTTTTTCACAGAACCAGCTCCAGTTCTAGCCTCTTGGGATCGTGATGGTGCAGAATCAGATGAAGCACGTCTGTCTCCTCAGGCCGGCCGCCTAATTCGTCACCTTCTTGAAGCCGATAGTGACCCTATGTTATCCCCTCGCTTTTACGCATATGGGCATAGCCAGCAATACTTGGATGATACAGAGGTGCCTCCATCCCCTCCTAACTCACACTCTTTTATGAGGTATGTATTCATAGTGACACTGTTTAGCCCATAATGCATTGGTTCATAATGTTGACTTCAAACAAAGCTCCAGTGAAAAATATGAAAGTGGTTGGAAAGGATTAAATTATTATTTTTTAAATAACACACATATTATACTTGCCCGCTCTGTGCAATGGTGTTGCACAGAGCAGTCCCAATCTTCCTCTTTTTAAGTTCCCTGGTGGTGCTCCTGGCTCCTCCATAGAGCCAGCTCTGTGTGTCCATAGATACACAGAGCGCGGCTCAGCCCACCCTCCACTCCCTCCTCACTGGCTGTGATTTACACTCCTGCTGCTGTCTCTTATCCATTGAGGAGGGGGGTGGGGGAGCTTTATACAGAAGTTTTTTTGCCTTCATGCATAGAATGCATAAAAGTAAACTTTCTGTCTTTAAAATCTTTCTTAAAGCTAGGTTCACATCTATGCAGATCTGTGAGTCAGGATTGCATGGATTTGGCAGCCCCTTCATTTGAATGGGCTTCTGTGCCTGTGTATTGTGCAGGAAAAGTTCCTGCACTGTTTTTTAAAACACAGCCACAGAGAAATTGGATGGTGTTCCACTTTAAGAACACCATTCCTTGGTGGTATGATGTAACACTCGTGCATCAGACTAAAAAAAAAAAAATTGTGATCGTGCAAAAGAAGATTTAATGCTTCCTTGGGCTGGGCTAATCTCTTGTTTTCCCATTAGTCGTAGACGCAGCTCTTCCCTAGGATCACATGAGGACGACAGGGATGAGGACCTGACACCTGCACAGATCACACGCAAAATTCAAAGTCTAAAGAAGAAAATCCGCAAGTTTGAGGAAAGGTTTGAAGAAGAACGGAAATACAGGGTAAGTGTTTTTCCTTGGATTTCTGTGTTATCCTGACCACAGCTGCTATATTCTTTCTAATCCTTAAAAAGAACCAGTCAGAAATGGACATTGTATACGAATTTGGATACCCCCTCCAGCAGAACCTTGCTTGTTAGGGTAGCACTGTCTACTGTTTAGTTGTACTAACTTTCTGCTAGAGCATAAATTTTGGCCCATTGGCTGTGAAGCTCCTGTCTAGTCTGCTCCTGTCTCCTGCCCGACCTTAGGGCTAATGAGACACTCTGTTCATACTTTACAAACCTACAAATTAAAAGATATTTTCTTTTATGATATTCTGATACCTCCTTTTGTTATAAGACAGTTTTGAGTGTTTTTTTCTCAGGTCTAACAGACTGGTTCTTCTCTGACAACTAGATAATACAAGTTCATAAAATAAATGTATCTGTAAGAGGAAAGCTTACCCTAATGTGACAATGCAAGGGTGGATACTCAGATTAATACACATGCCATATATAAAAAAAAAAAAAAAAATTCCAGCACATCATATATACCTTTTCTTCTTTCCAGCCTTCATATCGTGACAAAGCTACAAATCCAGAAGTTCTAAAATGGATGAATGAGCTGACCAAGTTCCGGAAGCAGCTTAAAGGTAATTACAAAGTTCAGCGTAGACCTCCCGCTAGTCTAACTGGAATGTGCACGTCTCTCACTTTGTTGCCAGAGAAGTCCTGTTTCTTAGCTACCGTGTTTGGTAGCTGGTAAAATCTAAATGGTAGGGTACATTTTAATGTTGCGTTTTCAGATAGATCATAGATGTTGTTTTTATTTTTTTTATGGAAATTAAAATGTAATTTCATTAAATTTTTGTAATCTTCCACTACGAAGCAGGAGGAGCTCTAGGCTTTTCTGTAAAGAGACAATGACACCTTGCTTATTCAAGGTACATTTTCATTGTAAATTGGCCCATCCCTTAACCACTCCCCTGTCCAGTGCTCCTTCCTCTGTCCTTGCAGCCATCAAAATGTCCAGTGTCAGAGCTCAGAGGAAGCACTATGAAGTATAAAGTTGTTTTGCCCTTTTATAGGAAAATCACTTATTCACTTCAATATAGCAATATTAAGCAATGCAAGTCTATTGGACTATATGAAAGACTGCTTTGGCATGAGCTAAAATGCTTCGACATTGTTGGGTTGAGTTACTAAAGGCAAATAGGTTATCCATTTTGCATGGGAATGTAACCTAGAGCTTGGTGAATGCGGTGAAATTTCACTTTGCAAACAATATCCAATCACAAAAACAGCATTTTGCTTGCATGTGATTGGATGATGTAACTCAGCAGAGTTCCTCCCGATTCACTAATCTGGGGAAAATTCCTTTGCAAACTTTAACTTCCCTTGCAAAGTGAACAGTCTCTTTGCCTTTACTAAATCAGATCAATTGTGCTCCATTGTATTAAACTTTGTGTGCAGAATAGGTTTCAAATATAATGTGCCAAGGTGATTATTATTTGGTAGATGGGCATATTAAAATTTATACACTGTACTAGTCGCAGGTGTAAATGTCTTCTTTTAGTTGTGTTATCTATACTGTTGATGCTTACTGTGTTATATTCTTTGTCATATCTGAAAACTTCTTTAATAAACATAATTTTCCAAAAAACGTAATATTCAGTTGTAGCAGAGCAATGTGAAGTGTTCACGTACAGAAATTAAATTGCATGTACCCACTTATAACACTAAAGTTTTTAGTAACGATAAATAAATCAGCACAAGGGACATTACTTGCTATTGTTCCAGTGTCTTCCTTGTACTCCTGGCTTTTGCTTTCCTTAAAATCTTCATCCTTTGACACTTGTGCCAGAAGTATTGGTATAGTAAGTATTATCCCTTGTTCTGATTTTGTTTATTTTGTCTTTTCCCTTTTTCTCCTCTCTTGCTTCTTTTTTTTTTTTTTTTTTTTTTTTTTTTTTTTTTTATATATATATATATAAACAAAACTACACTTGTGTATGATCAACTTTGAATTATGTTAGAGTCAAAAATCAAGCTGTCTGAAGAAGATGTGGTTCCGCAGATGAGACAGCGAAGCAATACGCTCCCAAAAAGTTTTGGTTCCCAACTTGAGAGGGAGGAAGACAGAAAGGCAGATGTAGAAAAGGCAGCCAAGCCTTCCATAGAAGCAACAATGGAAACCATTCAGAAGAAGCTGCAGGAGAAGAGGGCTGAGGTCAACCGTCCAGAAGATATAAAGGTGGAAATATGGAAAGGAATTAATTTTTGTGCTTTTTTTTTTTTTTTTTTTTTTTCATGTTTTTACAAGGAGTGTAAACGGGTACTTGTTCGTGCTATAGTGTACAGATGTGGTTGTGACCTAAGTGACTAGCAACTGACACTCTTATAACTTTTATATATAATGTATAAAATACAGGTGTCTTAAATATGTTAATGTTTCCTAAATTTGACTACTCATAGAGCTAGCCTTATTTATTACCCTGACACAGAGCAGTTTATGCTCTTTATTACATAAAAGTTAAGGAAGCATTGAGAAGCAATCTGTCTGACTGGATTCCCCAAGATAAGCAAGAACTCTGCGTGTAATGTAGAGTAGCGATCCCTACCAATAACAGAATAGCAGGTTTTTGGTCGTTTTTTTTTTTTTTTCATCATCTATCACTAATTATTTTAGACCTTAATCCTCATCATTGATAGGTTTTTTTGATATATAAACATTAAGTCTATGTTTTAAAATATATTTTATAATGCATCAAAATTACATAAATAGTGCAGCGCTCAAAACTAACTTATATACACAAATAACTGTGCTCACATACAATGGTGACACACATATAGTGAAATGACCTCAATTATAAGTGCCACTTAATGATGATCTAAGGTGCCCACATAATCACACAAATATATGTAAAACGCATATAAACAACGTATGAAAACGCATATAAAAAAGTCCTCACTGGAAAATAATTTTAAATAATTTAAAAAGTGCTCCAAGTGTGGTGATGTAACCACACTTAATTAGATTTATCCTCAAAAAAATCAAACACAAACGAAATTGTCCATAAATACTAGTGGCAAACACATGCAAAGTGCATAAAAGTGCAAAAAAATGCAAAAAAATTTGTGCAAAACAAATGTGTCCTTATTCCACAGCAGTGCAACTCTTCCCCTCCTACGGCTAGATTGCCTCCTCACCTCCTTACATCGACCCCTAAGGGCCACACAGCATTCAGGATCTCTCTGGATCCTTATCCCCTGGAGATCAGCACTTCTCCTGCCGTCCTGGATCACTTTGAGGGTATTTCGATTACCCCCACTCAGAAGCTTCTATAGGATGATTACTCACCATCCAGTGAGCAAGAAAGAAAGAGATCCTCTAAGTGCAGTATTTTAGAGCCAAAAACCACTTTAATGACAGTGTTTAAAAGACATATAGTGTGTCTCCTTAGTGTGCAATCATCATTTTGATGTCTATTCACAGGGTGGGAGTGGGGTCGGGACCTGTAAGTGAAACTCCAACAGAGGAGTTTCACTTACAGGTCCCGACCCCACTCCCACCCTGTGAATAGACATCAAAATGATGATTGCACACTAAGGAGACACACTATATGTCTTTTAAACACTGTCATTAAAGTGGTTTTTGGCTCTAAAATACTGCACTTAGAGGATCTCTTTCTTTCTTGCTCACTGGATGGTGAGTAATCATCCTATAGAAGCTTCTGAGTGGGGGTAATCGAAATACCCTCAAAGTGATCCAGGACGGCAGGAGAAGTGCTGATCTCCAGGGGATAAGGATCCAGAGAGATCCTGAATGCTGTGTGGCCCTTAGGGGTCGATGTAAGGAGGTGAGGAGGCAATCTAGCCGTAGGAGGGGAAGAGTTGCACTGCTGTGGAATAAGGACACATTTGTTTTGCACAAATTTTTTTGCATTTTTTGCACTTTTATGCACTTTGCATGTGTTTGCCACTAGTATTTATGGACAATTTCGTTTGTGTTTGATTTTTTGAGGATAAATCTAATTAAGTGTGGTTACATCACCACACTTGGAGCACTTTTTAAATTATTTAAAATTATTTTCCAGTGAGGACTTTTTTATATGCGTTTTCATACGTTGTTTATATGCGTTTTACATATATTTGTGTGATTATGTGGGCACCTTAGATCATCATTAAGTGGCACTTATAATTGAGGTCATTTCACTATATGTGTGTCACCATTGTATGTGAGCACAGTTATTTGTGTATATAAGTTAGTTTTGAGCGCTGCACTATTTATGTAATTTTGATATTTTCACTGTTTGGGTAACAGATTAAGTGTTGGCAGCTTACAGTAGGGCTATTTCCCTTTTGCGCAGGAGGATCTCTGTTTATATTTTATAATGCATATTGTCTATAGCCCTTGATATGCCCAAATTAACACAATGACACTCCAGCCAGTTGCTTATATATTCATTATTTTGCATTGGGGATGGGGGAACTTGAAATATGAAGTATATATTTTTACTTCTGTATCTCTTTTGAAGCTTTCCATAATGTGACAGGTTGTATACCACTCGTTAAGTATATCATTTTATAAGTGACTAGCTCTGTATTCACACTAGTTACCTTTAATGGCTTCTAGCACTAGAGAACATTATTTGGTTTGTAGGCTTGAGATTTGCATCAGAATACAATGATTTGTTTTTGTGTTTCTAGGATATGACCAGAGATCAGATTGCAGCCGAAAAAGTGTCCCTTCAGAAAGCCTTGCTGTACTATGAAAGTGTTCACGGCAGACCAGTATGTCCTTTTTTTCATAATTTGTTTTTTTTTTTTTTCTGAAAAACTGTATCACAGGCTGGGTTAGAAATATATATATATATATATATATATATATAATCATTATCTAAAGAGTTTATTAAATCGGTTTCATGCTCTCAACTAGAGCTTAGGAAATTGGCTAACAGGAGGCTGTTCTTGTATCATAACTTGACTATCAGTACTCCGAGACTAGGACCTCTGTGTGTTGTAAAGTGTATGCAAACCCTAACAAATATTTATTTACTCCCTATAATGAACTGACAACACAGTGCCTCTGCTGCACTGAAATTAGAATCTTGCCAGGTCTGCCCATTTTACCTACTTGAAAAACGGATGACCTTCCCACTGTGTTACAGAGATGGGACAGAAGGAGGTGTCTTGTAGTCCCAACACTTCCTGTCAAAGAGCGATAATACTGTTTCTTCATAGATGCAGTATGTAAGTGCTGTCACCCTAGGACAAGAAGTGTGTTTCTTCCAGGATCAACAGGCCAAAATAAATGGAAAGACTGAAAAAAGAAATATAATCACATCTATGGTTTGATATGTAATATATTAAATTTTTTTTCTCTTGGATTTACACTTAAAATATCTGTGTTGTCTAGTGTTCATGAAGTTAGGTTGATGGTATTACTGCAGTTTACCTTTTTGTCATAGTAAATGTTGCACAGCAACAAAACTTCAGATGACCCTTGTAGAGTACATTTTCCAGAGTTTTAATCATGTCATGCTGAAATATGCATTTAGTTTTTTTTTGTATCAAATTTGGTAGCACAGAACCTGTCTGATCTTTCTGATTGGTTTCCAACTAACATCAGAATTAATTTTAGCTTCTGCTGATTGGTTTGCTGTAAGGCAGGAACCCAGAAATTCATAATACTTGACAAGTGTTCATGTTGATAAGGTTCTTATGTATTTCATTCAGCAGTAACATTTTACTGTTCCTCGTTCAACTGAGAGCTTGTCAACTAAAAAAAAATACAAAAATAAAAAACAAAGCAAATCAGTAAAATGTAAGGTGTGGATTGCACCTTTCTTCTTTTCTTCTATTTCTTATGATTGGTCCCTTCCTCTACTGAGTAGAATATGAAAACAATGCCTAATTTCTAATTAAGTGTCATCCTCCTATTTTTTTTTTTTTTTTTTTTATTTGTTTAACTTCAGTTTAGTTGGAGTGTTACATGAGTCAGTTCACATTAATGTTTTTTAGTGAATCTTTAATTAGACTTTATTCTTGGCACTGGTAGATTGTGGAAAAGTACTGGCTGCTTAAAAGCAATTTATTAAAAACAGCCAAGCCAAAAATCAGAAGGCTAAAGAGTATAAAGTAATGTAAGCCTATTAGTTTGGAGCCTATTGTGAACAAGTGTTTTACTTACTGAGGACTTTATTAAAGCTCTATAGATTCATTTATATAGATGCTAAGTGTGTGTTGACCCTTACAGCTTTTATCACTTAATTTGCGAACAACTAGAAACATATATGCTATTATTTTTCCTAATTTATGTTTGGCTAGTTGGCCTTTGGCAGAACTCTTAAAGCTGCCCCTATATATAAAGTTGGGGTCAGACAGCTGACCAGTGTCACTTTTTCGATACTTTGTTACTTGTAGTATTGAAACCTTTACAGTGTCTAAATATTAAAATGTTACTAAACCCAGGACCCTGCATTTTATATATCTGGTCTTCCACAGTACACAGAACATGGATACCTTTTCTCATCAGCAGTATTTGACCAAGCACTGGTTAAAGCTTTTAGCAATAGTTTTCATTCTCCTGACTGTCCTTTGAGGCTGCATGACACCTGACTCTGTCTGGACAGTGGTTGGCCCTGTGCTGATCACATGTACCACCCCACCAAAAAAAAAAAAACTCTCTAGCAATACACACCAAGTTGCTATTGGTTCCCCCCACTGGCATGTATCTCACAACTACAGGGCATAAAAGCCAGCAGGACAAACTACTGTGGCTGCCCGGGGATGGGAGGGGTATCAAGTATTCAACTCAATTGACAGTCAACACTTGCAGTGTTTGGGGTTTGGAGACTGGCTTTTCAATACACAGGCCATCGAAAAGGTAATTGTTTGCGATTCTTTACAGGTGGTTTTTAATGGGTAAAAAGTGAAAGGGTCACTGTAAGATTGGAGTAACACTATATTGCCAAAAGTATTGGGACGCCTGCCTTTACACACACATGAATTTTAATGGCATCTCAGCCTTAGTTGTAGGGTTCAATATTGAGTTGGCTCACCCTTTGCAGCTATAACATCTTCAGCTCTTCTAGGAATGCTGTCCACAAGGTTTAGGAGTGTGTCCTATGGGTCTGTGTGTCTATGGGAATGTTTGACCATTTTTCCAGAAGCGCATTTTGTGAGGTCAGGCACTGATGTCGGACGAGAAGGCCTGGCTCGAAGTCTCCACTCTAATTGATCCCAATGGTGTTCTATCGGGTTGAGGTCAGGACTCTGTGCAGGCCAGTCAAGTTCCACTACCCCAAACTTGCTCATCCATGTCTTTACAGACCTTGCTTTGCACTGATGCACAGTCATGTTGGAACAGGAAAGGGCCATCCCCAAACTGTTCCCACAAAGTTGGGAGCATGAAATTTTCCAAAATGTCTTGGTATGCTGATGCCTTAAGAGTTCCCTTCACTGGAACGAAGGGGCCAAGCCCAACCCCTGAAAAACAATCATACACCATAATCACCCTCGACCAAACTTTACACTTGGCACAATGCAGTCAGGCAAGTACCATTCTCCTGGTAACCGCCAAACCCAGACACATCCATTGAATTGCCAGACAGAGGAGCATGAATCGTCACTCCAGAAAGCACGTCTCCACTGCTCTAGAGTCCAGTGGCGGTGTGCTTTTACGCCACTGCATCCGACGCTTTGCATTGCACTTGGTGATGTAAGGCTGCTCAGCCTTGGAAACCCATTTCATGAAGTATAAAGGTATATGGTCCTCCTGCGCTCATTTGGTTGAACTTAATACTAAGCAGCCGGCACTCAAATGCCTCAACCTAGGCACAAATGAATGGTAAATTATATATAGATAGTGCAGCGCTTACATGAGCTTCTAATAATAGATAAGCCTGGTAGGTGCAATAAAATATAGATAAATAATGATAAACATGCAGGACATGCCAAAACACAAAAACATGGAAATATTGCAAATAATGAAGCACATTAACCCCTCTTGATCCTCATCTGAGGGATCATCAGTGCGTGCAAGCAGTGTGTGTGTCCCTTTAAGGGAAAAATGCTATATAGGATAAAGCTTAGTGAGTCGTACCACATACACTACAGACACAGTGATACAACACTTCACTCTTATTGCAAATGTCCACTTATATTATAACACTATAACACTGTCATGCAGGTGTTAATCTCGTGCTTGTGCTGTAAAGCGTGCCTATCCTCCGTGGCTGGAGTGCCCCCTCACCTTCCTGCCCAGGCCCCACAAGACCAATGAGCCTTATAAATTACACTGATGGTCTTCCCAGGACTAGGTAGTCTTCTTAGTAATGGTGCTGGTACTCCCTCCTCCTCTGATTATTGAACCTCCAAGATCTACTGGCACTGCTGGGCAGGTAATACTCCATGCACATCCCCAGTGATAAGACAGAGAATAGCCAACATAGTGTAAAACTGATTTATTGAGACATCTATAGTACAATAAAATGCCCACTCACATTTTGGTAGTAGCAAACGAGCCTTCACACCACATTAAGGGTGTACTGCATGTGTGGATACAAACGGGTGCACCAAGATGGCGCCGGATCTGACGTCACTATGCTCTGGAAGCCCCCTCCTACTGGCGTACCTACGCGTTACGTCACGATCAGTCACGTGACTTCCTTAGGATATACGCCTGCATTGACTGGAGCTTCATTTATCTCTCCTCCCAGCCAATCATGTGTTGTGGGGTGGTTACTCGGTGGCCATTTTGAAGTAGCCGCATAACTTATACACTGATCGAGGACATCTTAATAGATGTAAATTACTAAATAACTTGCGGGCTTAGGTGAATATTCGATAATATATTGCAAATAAAATCTTATTTAATGGAAATATATTTGCAACCAATTCAGTATAAAAAATCCAAAATATGGATAAATGTTAAAAACCCAAATGGCTATTTAGTGCTTGATCCTATCGGATCTGATAAAAATAAAAACATAATCCTTCATTAAAAAACTTAAAAACATGGTGACACCAAATTTCTCCAGTCCTTGATCTGATCTTAACATTGACCAAGGTGACACTGTACTGCTAGGGTGGCAGTATGTTTAAAACTGATTGCTTTTACTCCCATAAAGGCTGTAAAAGCAATCATTTCTCCTTCTCTCTGGCTGCATTCATGCAGCCATTGACAAATACTGTGTGAGCTGTGATTGGTCACAGCTTGTCACATGGTACAAGGCTGTTGTGAATAGCCTTGTACCATGTGACCTCTGTGATCATTCACAGATTTCACACGTAGTAAGCAATGATGTCAGAAGTGACATCTTGCTTACTACTCTGCATGTAACACTGATTGGCCAATCAGTGATCACATGATCAGGACCTCGCACAGAGGTCCCGTACATCGATCGGTGTTCCACTGTGTGCGGAGGACACAGCGGGCACCGGATCGTGGTGTTCCGCGCTCCCAGGGCCCCCCACCCTACACTGCCACCGTCCAGCCGTTTATGTACATGGGCCGGACGGGAAGTGGTTAATAAGCTTGATGCACAAACATTCACTATTTATTTTTTATGGGTTTTCTTGCAAACGTGATGTTCAGTCTTAGGTCAGATTGTACAGTACATGCTAAATGTATGTATTGCACAGTACATGCTAAATGTATGTATATCAAGCTCATTAAAGAAAAAAAAAAATCTTATTGCTGCATTAACATCCACTATTTTTTTTTTTTTTTTTATGGGTTTTCTTTCTAACGTGCAGTCTTAGTGCATAAAACAAACTAGTTTTCTACCACTTGAATGTATATATAAAACAGTGCAGCCCATCTCCTGGGACTTTTGGTAATTAATCTGGCACAATTTTGGTTTTAATTTAAAAATCAAAAAGCGCTGTTTTGTTTATATCATGCCACAGATGTTATATTCTCAAACATGTCCCTTGGCCTCGCCAACGGTGTATGTGTTGTGGATTTCCTTTCTGGAGCATAGGTGGATGGATAAGAGTGCCCAGTATTCTTATGGAGAGAGCGACAAAACATGGACCACATGAGAAGTCTGAATACAGAACTGGTAAACTCTGTTTAGGTTGGGGGGTTGGCAACCTGTCAATCACGACCTACCCATCGACTGATAGATCACGTCCCTTCCTTGCCAACCCACAGAACCTGGAGAGGAGGGGTAGCGGGAGTATAATTGACTGGAACCGATCCCCAGTATTTTCCCCCTGCAGCCGCTGGCATCTCCTCCTATTCCTCCCCAGTATTTTCCCCCTGCAGCAGCTGGCATCTCCTCCTATTCCTCCTGCTGGTATTCAGTTGCTTAACCACTTGCCTACCAGGCACTTATACCCCCTTCCTTACCAGGCCAATTTTCAGCTTTCAGCGCTGTCGCACTTTGACAATTGCGCGGTCATGCAAGATTGTACCCGTATGAAATTTTTATAATTTTTTTTTCTCACAAATAGAGCTTTCTTTTGGTGGTATTTAATCGCCGCTGGGCACTTTACTTTTTGCGCTATAAACAAAAAAATTGCAAAAAAAAAAAGTTTCTTTGTTTCTATTCTAAACAATTTTCAAACCGGTAATTTTTTCTCCTTCACTGATGTGCGTTGATGAGGTGGCACTGATAGGAAGCACTGATGGGCACTGATAGGCAGCACTAATGAGGTGGCACGGATAGGCAGCATGAAGATGTCATAGATAGGCGGCACTGACTGGCATCACTGCTGGGCACACTGACTTGCGGCACTGATAGGCATTGACTGGCGCAACTGCTGGGCACTGACTGGTGGCACTGACTGGCAGCACTGGTGGGCACAGGTGGGTGGCACTTCTGGGCACAGGTGTGTGGCACAGGAGGGTGCACTGCTGGGCACAGGTGGGTGGCACTGCTGGGCACTGATCATCAGTGCCCTGATGATCAGTGCCGATCCCCGCTCTGACAACTGCCGGTTCTCGGCAGTACTTTCCTCACGCTCTGACAGCGTGCAGCCGAGAACCTGCAATTGCATTTCCCGGTCATCAGCATGTCATTGGACACGGCTGATCACGTGGTTAAGGGCCGCTGTGGTTGGCCTTTTACCACATCACGTGATCAGCTGTGTCCGTAGGACACAGCGATCATGGAGATCGCTGGGTGCGCAGGAGAGCGCGTTCTGGGAGGACGTCATATGACTCCCTTCCAGAACTGGCCGGCCGCAGTGTAGCCGTCATTCGGCTATCTGCGGTTGGCAAGTAGTTAAGGAGGAAAATATCAGGGATCAGTTCCAGTAAATGATGCCCCTGCCTGCCCTACTGACATCATCCACACACTGTCCACTGCTCTACTGACCAACACTGTTCACTTTTAGGGTAGGCAAAGTTTATATTTTTATGGTAACATTTCTTTCATTATATTTTTCTAACTTTTCCTTACTATTTAGTTATGCCTTGCTAGTTAATTTCTTTAAAAACAAAAAAACACCTAACCCCAGTGATCTTTGATCACATTCAGTTGTTTTTGGGTAGATCTCAACCTCTCACAGGTTGCTCACCCCTGATTTAGGTGATCTTGCGCTTTAAGTTTAGCATATCATATTAGAGAGAAATGGTCTTTGGGGAAGACGTATGATGTATTGTACAAAGTGGTCTCACATGATCAAAGATTGCCATAGTGAGCCTGTCGTCCTCGTGTTTGTAAATGTTAGGTGTCATTGTATAAATGTGCCTGTATCACAGGTTTACGTAGTAGTAGTCCCAGTAGTAGCCGCTATCCTTGCTTAAATTATGAGGTACAAAACGCCACGACAGACATATAAGGAAACTGTAAATGTGGCACTGGTGCCTTCTGTCAGTAGGGGGTTCCAGCACATAAATCTGCCACACTGTGCCCTTGGTTAACTTGTATGCTTTCCTTTTACCTGTAGATTAGGAGTCTGATAAGATGACCTACATGAATTATAATGCAGTATGAAAAAATCTGTAACACTATTAAAACAGATACCAGCAATTGCAAATGCCTACCCTATATTTCAATAAACCTTGGCTGCTCGCCACAACACAAAGCCCATGAAACCACTGCGCTGTCACTTCCTCCCTTTTTTTTTTTTTTTTTTTTTTTTTTTTTTTCTGGCAGTGAAAGTTTGTTTCAGGTCCTACAGAACTAAAAACGTTCAGAGCGTGTTTGTGAACAATAATCACTGTGATAATAAAATAAAAGTATTTTGAGCTGCCGACTTTGGAGCATTAACCTTGCAACTTTGTATTTATTTATTTTTCAGATAACAAAGAGCGAGAGGCAGGTAATGAAGCCGTTGTACGACCGATACAGGCTGTTCAAGCAGATTCTCTATCGAGCAAATACCATACCAGTCATTGTAAGTCAAGTTCCTGTTTGTATATCTTGTGCAGCCATTGCACTCAGACTTGTTCTCATTTACAGCATTTGTTGTGCATTTCTGTTTCTTTAATGGGAATTGAGCTTGGCATTGTCACTATTTAGTTGGTGTATAGAGAAAAAAAAACTTCTCCTTGATTAGTTATACAACACAGCTAGCTGGTAAATATTTAAGTAGGTAGTCTTTGTTTTAAGCTCAATAGGCACCATAAGTCATTATATCTCTTGTGTGCACAGCACTCATGAAATGTCTGGACGCACTTGTAAGGAATCTGACTCTATGGAATTATTTCCAGTCAAGCATTGAGCGCTTTGGAGTTAAATGTGTGTCCACTATTTTATAAGAGCCATTTACAATTCTACATAATATAGTTGTTTGTCAATGTTGACCAAACCTGACTGGAGTTTGCACTGCCACAGATCAGGTTTTAGCAAGATAACCTAGATTCTTCAGACAGAAGTACTCATTTTAAAATCAGTTTAATAACACATTGTATTTGGTAAAGAAATGCTGTCACCTGTAGAAGTGATAGCCCACACCCCACCCTGCACTCCCATGCTCCCTCGCCACATTCTTGCTGCAGAAGTGCACCCTGGGTAAGATCTTAGGGCAGATGGTGTCAGAGCGTATCCAGGTAGATGAAAGTCTTTGTGCTGCCAGGTGAGAGTGTCGAGGCCTGGTGGGTGACTGCTCAGCACTCTTATGGGGAAAGATCACATGCTTGTCCCCAATTTCCAGAGGCCCTGCTCTTTTGGGGTAAATTCTCCAAAAGTATGCAGATCGGCAAGTATAATCTGCTGTGGAGGTTGGTCTATCAGGAGGCTTGTTCCCTTTGCTCTGTAGGACAGATTAACAGGGTCTCTTTAAATGTAACACCTGTAATATTTTATATAGTTTCCAGTTTTCTGTTAGTTCTCTAGTAACCCTACAAATGATCACCTCACTACCACTTTGCTTCTTCTATTACCATTGTTGGTAAATTAAATGGCACAAATAAAGTTCACCTTCAAGTTCACCTTTGTTACATGTTCCACCCAAAAAAACAGGTGGAACATCTAACAGGTTTCCATATTCCCACTGCCAGAGCTGCTGCCCGCTCCACTGCAGTGTTACAGCTAGCTAAGGGGGGTAGTCTTCACAGAATTATGTGCGTGAAAAACTACAAGCCCCAACAGGCTTTGCTGCTGTTGGCTTTTAGCTTTCAATGAACTGCCACGGTGCTATCCTACTGTCTGTGTATATCTCCCTGTTCATACGAGGTATGAGCACACAGATATATACAGGCAGGTCTGCAGGAGTCTTGTGGGTGCAATGCTTTCTAGGCTCCTGGTTAAAAAAAAAAAAAAAAAAATACCTGCACATTTTTTTTTTTAACCTGCAAAAAGATGTGCATTTTTTTTTTTGCTTTTTTTTTTTTTTTTTTTTTTTTTTAAATAGTGAACTTATCCTTTCATTTTATCTTTGACAGGCTGAGGTTGCTGATGTTTGGTTTAGGAATTTGTGACAATCCCCTGCACCAAACTTGCAAACCAAAACTTTACCAAAAATGTATTATTTGTTCTGATAACTGCAAAGAATGCTTTGCCTAGGTATAGACACTGAGTGCAGCTGCTTCATTATTGCTGTCGGTGGTCTCATAGGACTAACATATTTGGGATACCTGCAGCTTAAAATTCCATTATTCTAATCGTTTATTGGATTGCTTTTCCATGGGATTATCCCGGTTTTAGGTTTATCATTGGTTAAAATATTTGTGCATATTTAGCACTAGACAGAGACCACATCATACACACAAATTAGATACATTTTACAGTAGAAATTTACACATAGATGTTAATATATTTAGGGTTTTTTTTTTTTTTTTCTTTTTATGAAGCAGTGATTTAAAAATAATACATTGCACAGTTATAAAGGACATCAGAGTGCTTAGTGCTCTACCAGCTTGACCGTCCTTTCCTCCACTCATGTTAAGAAGTGAGAACGCCATGGGACACGGCAAGCTAAACACCACAGCCTGCTTTTCATTGTTTCATATAAAATTCAGGCTGACATTACAGTGTGGTATGGAGCTGTTGATCACTCTGCCATAAATGCCTCCTTTAGAGCAATACTCCTCTGTAAAAATATATGTCATGTAAAGTAATGAATTGTACTGAAATTGACCATAAGAGAGGGCCCTTACTGGGTTTCATGTTTGATTTTGAATTGTGTAAAAATGCTTACTGGAGAGACTAGAGATCATTTCTGTTCCAAAGATAATTCCCTGGTGGACATGGGTTCTTTTACAAATTAACACGTTTCTCTGCACACTGGGCACACCTCATATGCTCCATGTTACTGTTTTCATGTTTCTGTACTTCAAAAACAGACATTTTTTATATTTTTGGTTAGAGTGTCTATTTTGGGTAGACTATTGTGGTTTAAAACACACTGACATCCTAAAAGGAACCTAGTAGAACAGAAATATTGAAGCTACCACTGCTGAAAGTATGCGGTGCTGTCATCCTTGTCCTTCCTTCATTATTTGAGTCACTGACTTGGCCCATAGCAGGCATTTAAACACTCAACCGCACAAGCTTGCTTTTGGTCGATGACCAAGTAATTAAGAAAATAGGATGACAGCACCCCAGAATTTCAGCAATTACATCTCCAGTTTTTCTTTTCTGTCTTGCTATAAATCTCCGATGCTTCACAAGTGAGCATGTTGAACCTTAATGTTCGGCTCCACCCACTTGCTATCCTTTCCCTCCATCCTTTCTCTCTTTTCTTTGGCTTTTCTCCTTGCCCTCTCCTTTTCTAGCCTTGTCTGCTCCCTTTCCCTCTCTATCCTCCCCTAATTGTTGTAGCACACATTATGAAACTCCAAGACCTGTAAGAAACACACGGACATGTATATCAATTTTTCGGTGGTATAGTAGCATTATAAATCTGAATGATATGTATACGGTGACATATTTAAAGTGACACTAAATTATATCGTTCTTCTATCAAAAATCATCCATACACATCCACTACTTAATGGCCCTGTAAGCAATTTTTTATTAAATTGTTATTTACTGTCTGTCTTTATTTTAACATACTCAGTGCTCTCAATCTTCCTTGTTCCCGTCACTTAAGTTTGTAACAAGCAGTGCATGTTAGTTGCAGTCATGTACACTGCTTTATGCACACTACAAATCTAGCTGTCCATATTCCCTAGTCCATCTCGGGAGCAAGCAAGAGAGGGTGGCTGAGTTTCTGCGTACAATGGGACCATGGAGAAAGACAAATGTTACCACCCTCAGGAAGTCCGATGACAAAAAAGTAATTTGGAGGAGGCTTTCAATGGAAGGTGCTTTTTGAGTTATGGATACCTACTTTGATATTTTTTTACAGAATTTAGTGTCACTTTATTTGTATAAATGATTAAGACATGGTAGTGCTATGGTGGCACAATGTGTATGTTGTTTCCTAAAACAGGTTGAATAATATTCGGGTTGTTCTATTTTTTTGCTTGTTAAAAATTTACAGTACTTGAAGTGTTGTTGCATTCTTCCTCTCCTGTTGAATTAAGCAATAAAATATTTGTGCAAATGATGCCTAAAATAGGACCTGTGTCCATAGTGGCCGTTTAATCCTTTTTAAAAGACTAAACTGGAGAAGCACTTGAAGAATGTGAACTACATGTACACTTGCTCTGAGAGAAGCTTGGATGAGTGACATTGAAAAAAACCATTTGGCACAATCCTAATGACCTTCTTGATGTCAGGTTATTATTTGGATTAAACTTTCAGTCACTCAAGAATTCCACTCGTACAATCGAATATAGTTTAGGAAGAGTAAATCCTGGATTTACTCTGTTTTTTTTTTTTTTTTTCTTTTTTTTCTTTTTTCCAAACAGCCTGTTGGACCAGCGGTGATAACTAAAACAGGAGGTATTTAGAATGCATTAACAAATTCCTGATTTACTGTGAGAAACAGACATACCCATTTGTTTTGGTGTTACAAAGTGTAGTACCCCATGGGCTTCACTTTCGTAAGACTGAGTGGTTGTCTGCTATGAAATGCACTTGGCAGAGACCAATTTGGCTGTCATAAGATTATGAAAGTGTTTTTGAAAGGATATGCAGTAAAATAATGCATTGCCTCAAACAATTTTTTTTTTTTTTTTTAGCCCATTTGTGTGTAGTTTTAGCTGAACACCTATGTATCTGCATAGGTTAGTTTTTCTTGGCAAGGTATAATATGTAAGGATGAAAGTTTGTGTATAAACTAGTTTTCAATATTGCCTATACCCTCTGCATACGAACTCGATATGCTTTTAAACGCTAGCTTCTAATACTAGTACATCATCTCTGTTAGGCTTTAGAATACTCTGCATAGTGTTTCTGCCAGTCCTGATTGGCACAGTAGATGCTATAGTTGTTAAGTTCGGGATGTTTGATAGACAGGGATTTCTGGTGTAACATACTTGTTAACACTCATCACAGGGATCCCCCTCGAGCAAGCGGAGAAGTCCTTTGCTGCAGCCAATAATCGAGGGTGAAACAGCATCCTTCTTCAAGGAGGTAAACCTAAGACTTCAGCTGCTAATGACAAATAACTGCTAAATCTGCATCAAAACCCCTCCAAGCAATCAACCCCTTTAATACTGATTGTGCCCTTGTAATCGCTGCCTTGATTCCTTGTGGTGCTTCTCAAAAATCAATAGCTGCTTGAGTCCCGACGGTTGTCTATGAGCTTCCATACGTGCCCATCGCTCCGATTGCGTTGACTTTTGTGTTCAGAGTTTGGGATGATTTTCACAGCTTCTTGCTTTTTATTTTCTATGATTTTGCTTCCTACTTTGTTTATCTTGCACTTATCTTTGCTGAACTGTATAATTTACTCACTGCTTTAAATATTGGTGGTTTAGAAGAAAAAAAGTTTTCCTTCCAGGCCGCTTCATTATCGTATGATTGTCTTATGTGTGTTCATCCAAAAAAAATGGTATGTTGTATGCATGCTAATCTTACCTGGATCACTCTCCCCCCTCCCCTTTTTTTTTAACTTCTGTCAAAATGTTTAGGATGGAATGAACAATGTAGATTTTGCACTAAGGCTGTACAAATCCAGGAGCCAGGTAGCATATGTACCAAAATATTTACCTTTTGATTTTTTATTTTTTTCCCCTTTGATGATAATAAAAGTACTGTGATCCCTGGCTACTTACAGGAAATGTCTGGTTTTTTTTTTTTTTATTATATTAACAGAGACCTCTGGTCCCATTTACCTTGTTCATACCTTGGTTTAGATGGTACTTTTTAAAGGGTTTTTTTAAAAGTTTGAACACCCCATAGAAATAATTGAACAAGCAAACAGATTACCTACAGTTAAAGATAATATATACTTGAACAAGTGACGCATAAAAGTGACATGGTGCATTCATTTTCAGGGTCTAAATTAACACAAATGCTAATTTGTTATATGGAAGAAGTATACCCCTGCATTTACCACCACTCTAAATTCATGAATCTGGTGTTCCAGTTTAGGTGCCAGTGATTAGAACCACTTGAAGGGAGTATGCAGGTAGAACATGTCTTATTTAAACCTCAGACATCTAGGGGTTTATTTACTAAAGCTGGAGAGTCCAAAATCAGACTCCCTTCTGCATAGAAACCAATCAGCTTCTAACCTCAGCTTGTTCAATGAAGCTTTGGCAATGAAACCTGGAAGCTGATTGGTTTCTATGCAGAAGGGAGTCTGATTTTGGACTCTCCAGCTTTAGTAAATAAACCCCCTAGGGTCTGGTGCTCTCTTGGCATGATGACACCATATCAATAGCAGAGATCAGTGGATCTCTCCAAGGCACACAGGAAGGAGGTTCTGGATGCTTAGGAGTCTGGCAAGGGATTTTAAAAGACGACCAAATGATCTGAAATCAGTCATTCCATTGTATAGAAAATATTGTAAAGTGGCGTAGATTTCAAACAGCTACTAGGCTGTCCAGAACTGACTGCACAGTGGTGCAAATGTTATGGTTTTGGGTTGCTTCAGGCACGGGCAGCTTGCAGTCATCAAGTCATCTATACATTCTGCATCATATGAAAGTGTGCTTAATGAGAATTAGATGTCATCCTTCCAAATGTTGACGGTGAACTGGAAATACATTTTTCAACAGAAGAAGCAAACTAGCAAATCAATCAAGGAATAGCTTGAAAAGAAAGGAATTTTGAACAGGAACCAATATCAGAGACTGGTGGGCAGTTTACAAAATGCCTACAAGTAATTTCTGCTTCAGTTGGCAATACAAGTTTTTGATGCCTAAGCTGTAGTTGGTTTTTCCACAGTATATCCTTACATCTGTTGATATTTTTAGATGATTGAAAAAGCAATTTTTTACTTGTGTTGTTCAAGTAAATCACTGTTCTCTGTGCGCACTGTTTTAATAAAGATCTAATGTTTGCTTGTTCAAGTAGGTTTAAAAAATAAAGTACAAGCCATGGAAATTATTAACTTTTTTTGAGGACTGTAGATGTTAGTCAGATGCAGATGTTTGGGGTCACATCTTTAAAGAGACCCTTTCACCAGACCATTTTATTTCAACAAAAACCTTTCCCCAAGATTAAATGTGCATTTAATGTATTTTAGGCATGGTTTTTGCCTGTAAAAGCCTCCCTCGTGTAGATCTTCAAAAGGCCTGAGATTGCTACTGGGAGACACCATCTTGAATGTAATTTCAGCAGACTCCGAGCAGTCACTCAAGTGACTCTCTGTCACAGGTGTCAAATTGGTGGCCCTCCAGCTGTTGCCAAACTACAGTCCCATGAGGCATTGCAAGATTGACAGTTACAAGCATGACTCCCAAAGGCAGAGGCATGATGGGACTTGTAGTTTTGCAACAGCTAGAGGGCCGCAATTTGACACCCCTGGTCTATAGTATTCCCCTTTGCTCCCCCCACTGCAGTTGCATAAACATTTATGTAGGGAGGTGATTGGTTGAGCTGGATCAGCATAGAGAGTATTTAGACACTCCCAGATGAGGGGATGGCTATGACATGGCTTAGGGATTCGGCTGTGCTAAGGAATGAACACTTACTGGAGTAGTCAATGTTTCTAGCATGTTCACAGGCACATTGCAAATGGCAAAAAAAATGTTAAACAAGGAAAACACTCTTCCAGGTAAGCATAAAATACTTGATTTTTTTTTTTCTGTTTTTTTTATGTCGATCTTCTATGTCGATCACTGGGTCACTTTCAGAAACAGATTAATAAAGTTAAAGGCCAATGTCACCTTTTTTAAAAAAAAAAAATAATAAATGCACATCTTTTTGCAGGTAAAAAAAAGTGTATTCATAATTGTTTTATTTTTTTTTTTGTTAGCCTGTAAAGCATTGCACCCCTGATCAGCATATCAGAGGGTGCAATGCAAGGCTACTGCAGACTGTCATCTTGTACAGGCAAGCAGTTACTGAATGACAGGATGAATCGATGAACTAGAGTGCTTATCTATGTCCAAGTAGTTAATTGCTATTTACAAGCCATCAGCCGTAATGGCTTACAGCAGTTTTAGTTCTCCCATTCACAGAACTCTATGAATGAATAACGCGGCCGGGTGGGCAGAGCACCACACAGCCACTTTTTTTTTGTTTGTTTTTTAAATTGTGACAGTGGATGTGGGGAGAAGATCCACAGGCCACTGTCACAATGGGGTTGCTGCATCAGTAACATTGTTACACCCTAATTATGGATGTAACATGGTATAGAAGGTGAACTTATCCTTTAAGACTGGTATTCCTGTGAATTTCTTTTTTTTATTCCCCACTAGATATTTGTGATTATTAACACACATTCAATTCGTTTGCATTTTAATGCGAAATGCAAATTTCTCCTCCACACTGTGATGTATGCTTATTAAGCAGAGCTAAGCCAGGACAATTATCATGGCTTACCCCTCCTTGGAGTAGTTAATGAAGCTGCGATGAGAAGCAGAGAAGACATTCTCCTGCTTCTCATTGCAGCACAGTGAGAAGTGGCCATGAAAGTAAATCGCAAAGGCTAGTTTAATAAGCTGCGATAAAAGCATCTGACTGACCATTAGTGTAAAATATCTACTCCCCTGCTCTGCTTCCTGATATTGCTACGATGTGAAGAGGAAGTAGAGGAATTATGACCTGTGCTCCTCTATCACCCTTTTCAGACTCCGTACAATCTATATTCTGTATGCTGAACCGGAAAATATAGATTCTCATATCCATCCTAACTGTGTAGATGATAGAATTTTCTCTTCTATCTATTGTATCCTGACAGCCGGTACTGGCAGCTGTCAGAATACTGGAACAGTGACTGTATGTGCTTGGTTGCAGTCACTGTTCCACCAACTTTTATTTCAGCTGGTCTTTATATTTGGTAATGGGAGTGGGAGCCAGAGAGAAAAGTGCTTTTTGGCTATAAACCCAACACTTTCCTGCATCTTTTTGCTTCTGAATAAAAAAAAAGTACATTTTCAGGTGGTCTGGGACCAGATCATGTAATAAATGTTACAGCCCTCAGTATCATGGCACAGCTTTCATCTACAACTGAATAATATTTGTTCAGTTAATTAGAAATTTGTACAGTTTTGGCTATGCTTTTCTTTTAACTTTTTTTTTTTTTTTTTTTTTTTTTTTTTTTTTTGGATTAGAACATTTTTGTTTAGATAGACTTTGCAGGCATGATATGTCCGGTTTTCATCTTCTGTCTTCATCTCATGTTACAAAGACAAAGTTTAGTCAACAAAATTCACATTTAACAGATGGATTAATTAACCCATGTTGATAGATCTAGTTTCCCATGTCTATGAAGGTTGCAGTTCTCGAGGAGGAAAGCATCAATCAAACTATTTTATGAAGCTGCAGGACTAGAAATTGGTTAAAGACTTTTATTTTTTTTTTTAATATATATATATTTTTATTGGTTTCTAAGTGTTACAACATTTTTGCTGTTACATTTGTTTATTGCTTTTTGACACCGTTTCTACAAAACAGCAATTTTGGCTCATAAATTGTTTCACTAACTGACCTAGAGATTGTGCTTTACTAATTTGGTTTGCAGTGAGCTATTGGTGTTTTACGGCTTATCCACGAGTTTGCATTGACATTGTTCACCTGGTTGCAGATTAATATAAAACTCTCCCCTGATGATTGTATCTGTAGGAGGAAGAAGAAGGTTCTGAAGATGATGGCAATGTAAACAATGATTTTGCAGTAACTATGAAGCCAGGTTTCAGCGTACGAAGCTTCTTGGATCAACTTGAGGATGAAGCTGATGGTTTTGTGTCTCCAGTTGATGACAAAACCCCACCAAAGACTACTCAAGACCTTGGGCTGGGCAATCTCCACTCTGCATCTGTGTAGGTTGGATTTTAACACCTAATATGTTTTTGCATTAAAAAGGTTAAGCAAGGACTATTGGAATGGGGTAAGATTTTCCCTGACTCACAGGCCTCATTTGATCACCCTGAGGACAGCATTTTCTGAGTGCTGCACAGAGCTGACCTTGCTGGGTTTTGTTGGTGTAGAGGTTATTTTTTGGTAGGGGAGCAGTGCCCGCACTACTAGGGGAAGGACAATCACTATAAGTGTTAAGGCTGGATTCATACTTGAGCATAGCGTCTTTAAGCACTTTCCATGTTTCTTGCTATGTGATTTTTTTTTTAATGCGTTTTTTTTTTTTTTTTTTTTTTTTTTTTGTCGCGCGTATTCCTACAGTGTTTTTTAGGCGTTTTTGAGCTTTGGCCTTTACTAGCCAATAGTGAAAAATATCACCAGTTGCATAATTTGTTAGGTTTTTCAGCTTTTCCATCAGCTTCTATTTCTTCATTTTTATCTTTTTTTTTTTGTTTTTGTTTTTGTTTTTTTGTTAGGGTAAAGGGTTAGAGTTAAGGTTATGATAAGGATTAGGGGGTTAATTTTATTGTCCTATTTATTGATGTTTTTGTTATAAATAGGGTGTTAATAATAATAAGAATAATAATAAGAAATAGTAAATGAATAAATGTAAAATAAATACACAAATAAAATTAAAATAAATTAAATGAATAATATAATGATTAACCCCTAAATTTAAATAAAATATAATTACCACCCTAACACACTATTTTTTTTTTTTTTTTTTGGTTGGGTTTGGGTGTTTTATTATTAATAATATTATTATTATTATTGTTGTTCATAATGTATTTACCTATTTTTTTTATTTGAGCAGAAAATGCGTAACAATGCGTGCTAATCGCACGTTTCCATTAAATTTCTATGTAACTAAAAACGCTCAAAAACGTGTATGTCTGCCCGATTTGAGCAACAGAAACTTGTTTGAGCTTCAGGCAACTTGGGGTGGAGATGTGAACCACCTCCATTGAGAATAATTTTTTTTTTCTCCTCGAGCGAATTATAGCTCGAAGCTCAAAAAACGCTTAAGTGTGAATGGGGCCTAATGTTTTCATCACTCAGTGGGTGTCTAAAAGCCCTTATAGATATGAGTGTAACCAATATGGCTGTTGTCAGCTGCATTGGGTGACTCTTCTTGTTCCTGTGAGCAGTTTTACACTACATTATTAAGGAAGGCAAAGCGTAAATGCAGGCTGAGACTCATTACGGTTTAGACCAAGAAGTAGAATTCTAGCCCAGATATTAATGTGATTTCCATGTACAGCTTACCCCATGACACCAGTCACCAGCTAGTATTCACTGGAACGTTGCAGAACACAAGTGTACATTTACATGAGTTTAATTTTGGAATATGTTCTGCATACAGGCCAGAACTTATAGAACAGCTACAAGAAGCAAGGGAAGAAAAAAAGAGGATCAGGAAGAAACTGCGAGATTTTGAAGACAACTTTTTTAGGCAAAATGGAAGGTGAGTGAATTGGATGTAAGCAGGTCACTCAGCAGGCATTTTATGTTGAGAATTTATTGCTGTACAATACATTCATGCTGCCACTTGAACAACCTGTCTGTGCCATTCTGCATTCTGAACAGGCATCATGTTCATTCTAATTAGTGTCTCTGTACTGTTCGCTTTTCTCTCTGCGGTGTATAAGCTTCGGGCTTGTTTCATCTGTCAGTACAAAACTGTAGGGCTGTTTGTCATGTCAGGCTTTGTTATTTTACTGCTCCTTCTAGTGCTTTAATTGTTCAGCCCCGGGTAATAAGAATGCCACAAGCTATCAAAAGTGTAAAAAAAAAAAATACTATGGCACTCTCCTGGCACCCAGTTTATTATTTCATAGTTTTTTCATATATTTTAAAGTAAATAACATCAAATCCAATCTGAGTGTTTCCCACGGTTTGTCATAGGCTTATACTTTGTGTTGGATCTTTATCAGAACCAGGACTTTCTGGCCAAGAATCTTACCACAAGAGTTCCTGAGCTGCTGTGGTCTGACGGTGCCCCTAGCTGAATAAACGTTTAAGGTAGTATGCAGCCAGAGACAAACACCCAGAATACAGACTAATTGCATTCTGGAAATTCATCCCTGGTCACATACTGCTGTCTGCGTCTCAGAGTTTGACAGGCTTCTTAGGCTTGCTTTCTTCATTTTCATCTGGTGATCTGGCCAGTAAGTGTGTTTCCAAAAGAACAAATTCTCCTGCATATATAGCAGTTATAGCATTGAGACAAACCATTTAACAGTATCACCAGAGGTGACAGTCCTTTTTTTTTTTTTTTTTTTTTTTTTTTTTTTTTTTTTTTTTTTTTTTTACTCTGTTGTCTAAGAATAGAAAACTAATGCAGCCACCACATCTAATGATTGGTAAGCTGCAATGTTACTTTTTTGGTTTGGGGTTTAATACTGCTTTAAGCTTTAAAATTCGGGGTTAGTCAAGGATTAGTGATTGGGTTAGTAATTGTTTCTCATGCAGAAGCCTCAACCCAATCACATTATTTTCAGATGTCAGAATAAATAAATGCTTTAAAATTCTTTTCTTTTTTGGATATATCAACTTTTTAAAGACGATCATGCCCAACTCCTGAATATTCATATGTAATTTAGCCATAGCAGAGGTTAATTTCCATATCATGACAAACAATTCAGCACTGTCCATGATACTTTTTATTTGCACTAACATTCAATTTTGAGGACAAGCTTTCGGGGAGTGTCCCCTTCATCAAGGTCCAAGCAGTACTATTACAAAGTTTTAGCAGAATGTTAGAAGATATATGGGGATTGAGGAAAAAAAAAAAAAAAAGCAGAAAGAAACACCAGCCTACGGTTAGCCTAGAGATAAGACACAGCAAAGCAAAAGCAAAGACTGGGGGAGTGGGGGGAAAGAACAACACTCGCAGAGGGAGTCATAAAAATGTGGGATAATGATTGAGCAATCCCATGTCCAAATTAAGGCCATTATCTCTTGTGTCAAATAGAATTATCATTCTTAGTTCAAAAGTTTTTCTTTCCTGATATCATGACAGCAATTTCATGCACAAAAGACTGGAAAAGAGTTTATTTTTGGGGGGGTTGTGTTTTTTGGGGTTTTTTTTGGAGGGTTTTTTTTACCTTTTCAAATGCATATCCACTTCATATAATCTTTATTTCCCTAGAAATGTTCAAAAGGAAGACCGCTCTCCAATGGCAGAAGAGTACAACGAGTATAAACACATGAAGGCCAAACTCCGGCTGTTGGAAGTCCTAATAAGCAAACGAGGCTCCTCACAGACAGTGTAATGCATCTTTTTCGGTTTGGAGTCATTTTATTTTATCTCAGGACCTAAATCACTGAGAATGGGCACATTACCTAGTGGAGCTCACCTGTCTGAATGTGTTGAACTTGGCCTATAAAGCAGACACTGCTAGAATGGAAGGCCGGTTTAAATTGCACAAGGTGGCTTGAAGGATGTCATAATCTTTCTTAGCTGGTTGTAATAAGGAGCGTACACTCCATATCAAAGGTACGACTAACAATAAGAACAATATCCAGTCACTGGACCTAAAAGTGAAGGTGGGATTTGTAGTCCAGTTCTTCTTTCTGCTACTTTTTTTTTTTTTTTTTTTTTTTAAATGGACCAGGACTCCCAACTTTGGCCATTGATCTCCCAGTGGTGATCTTACACTGGTTCTATTATACTGATTGCTTGTCCAAATAAGGATGGTTTTGTAGAAGAACCTGTGTTCTAAGGAAAGTTCTAAAACGCTTATCTAGGACAAGCAAATACCTCATTTTAACACTACTTGGTTCTTTGTCAGTGTCACTTGTCGTCATTTGTGGTATCTGATATCGAACAGCCTTGCATCTTTATAGAACCAGATCTTCATGTTGGAAAAGCAGCAGATGAAGAAGACTGAGAAAACAAGACCTTTTAAATGAGCAGTTTCCGAGAACTAGCTCATGCCAACTGCTTTGGTATCTAATAAACAGTTTTTACTGATTGATCTTTTGCTACCAATCTTGTCAGTTAATATATGACATAATGATTAACGTCTTTGGGGTTACTAGATCTGCCTGCCCCCTTCCCCTTTTTTTCTGCAGCATGCACTTTCTTCTTTTTTCTACAACTGTAATTTATGATGTTACCCACATCTCCAATGAGACTATATGCTTTAATCCAGTGATCCACCAGTAGAAACGTATTACAGTGTATTTTCTTGTCCTCTCACATTTCATGTGACCTTCTAAATCGCCAGGGCTCGATTTACCCACTCCAGGATACCAGCAGCTTCTGCTTGAACTTTATTATTCAAGAACTTAACTACTCCACTTCTGCCACTCCATACAAGACTTTACTAGCGCATGAGAATGATCACAGCTCATATTAAATGTGTGAGTGTGTATGGAAAAGTATTACAAAAAAAAGCTAGGGTTTGCGTACAAATTTTACTTCATTTGGAGAGTAGGTTAACCAACATTTTGTAAGGGTCTTGCGCTAAATGTATGTGGTACAGCGCTGGCTAAGAAGGTGCAGTTAGTTTTTGAACTGCAGTTGCATTGATACCTTTCACATCTGTCTCCCTTATAGTAATGGTACAGGAGCCTTTGTTTAATGGGGCAAAGTGCAATAACCCATACAAAAAGGAATTGGAGAGAATGTTTTATTTGACAACATCGTGTCAACTGTATGCTGTAACCCAGGGCAATCAGATTTCAACAGTTTATTGTAGTCTTTTATGAGTTAATAGTGGTTCAAAAGTTTTCCAAACTTTAAAAAATAAAGGTACTTTTAGCTGCTTGTTTTCCTTGTGGATGCAAAGCTTTTTTTTTTTTCTCCTAAGCTTGAACACTGTTCATTGACCGCTTCAGAAAGCATAATCATTAAATCCCAAACTACAACTAAGCATGCAGCAAGTGAAGTCCTGTTGCTCTGTATTTGTAATGTTAGCAGTAACAGATATTGATCAGTTTTACGATCAGGTAGCTAGCATTATATTATATGTTCTGTACACTTTCAGTTGAAAACTTTTTTTAATTGTCTTAACACTACATTGTTATAAATGCTTACCACTTCAAGGTCTACATTTTAACCAACCCATTCTATACATTCAAGTCCCATATTTAACTACAAAAACGTTTTATGGTTATTTCATTAATTAACTTTTAATAAACAGATTGTTTTGGATATAACACCCCCTGTAAAATAGTGGGCATACATTGCATAGTATTTTTGGCGGTATGCGATTTCAAAGCATGTCAGCTCTATACAGTTTGTGAAGAAGGTATTGAATCTATTTTCTAGTATAAGCTGCATCTATATAACGAAGATGTAGGCTTGGTGCATCCAGCGAGCTCCCAGTGATGTCAGTATGTTGTGACTCCCAATGGTTGCCTTTATTATCACAATTAAATGGAATGGGTCTCATGCACACAGGTGCATGGGGCAATACAATGTATATTGGGGCACGTTTCCACGCCTGGGAGGCACAGCTGCAGCATTCATCTGTACATAGTAATGAACAGCTGTACACGGACATATGCCATACTTATGTAAACACATGCAGGGGTGTAAAATCTCTGAATGTGGCTTGTGAAGGGATGCATGTGTTTAGGCATGTACAGTGTATTCTCGTGTAGGCATGTACAGTGTATTCTCATGTACAGACGCGATTACTATGGGCATCTGTATGCTGCAGCTTTGTCTCCTGTGTCCAGAAATACGCTTGCAATTTACGCTGCCACATGCGCCTGTGTGTGAGTGTGGCCTCTATAGCATAACAATATATTTTTATAGTCAGTGGGGTACAAGGGCTGACTTCAGTGAATGATCCAAAGCTGGTTTAACTGTTTGCAGTGCCTATAGATGCAAAGCTTTAAACCCGCTCACTACAAAATCATGCCTACTGTGCAGCCATATCTGTGAGTCTGGAGACTAACGTTCTTCACAACCTTCTCAAAAAGATCCATTTTCAACTCTTTTCTACACCATGAAAAATAGCAGTGATGTGAATATCATTGGATTTGCTGCTCTGCCATTTTTCAAGCCAGCTCTTCCATTTTTCAAGCCAGCTCTTCCATGTCACTATAGTTTTTGGTAGACAGGTTGTTTGCTTTACAATGGATGAATTTTTGAAGAAGTCTCAGGTATTGTCTTATCACTGTGCTTGAATCCATTTGGCGGTATACATAGAAACACTAATCAGTGACCGACAATCTTAAACACGCTGTATGTAAGGTTTTCCAAAGTGACCAATGTCTGTAAAGAAACCCTTACTGGGTTCATCTCGAACAGTGCGAAGAGCGGTGATGATGTACAAGTACAGCAGCCAGAACTGGTCAACAGCTGGGTTTCAGTTGAATCCATGATATGGGTTACTGCACTTTGCACACTGTTTGCCTTGTTGAATAAGCTTCGTTATTCTGTATATGCATATGTTGGTGGTGATGGGAATGATAATTGCACTTATTGTTGTTTTCTAAAAGCAAGTGGCTTCTTATTAAAGTATTTTTGGAAAAAAAAATAGTCTGTAAAAAGAATATTTGCAAATTTTTATGTCTAGAAGCTATTTAAACCACTGAATCTGCTCATAATGATTTCCTTTTGGTTTCTTTTTTAACACCCTAAATGTGTAAGGGTTTATACCAACAAAACAATGTTGCTCAGCCTGCTAGAATAACAATGTCAGTGATCATAAAAATTCAGTCCCTGGAAGGCTAGCACTAATGAACACTGTACACAGCAAAGCTTCAATTAGGTTAGCACTTCTGTTCCTGGGCTACCTTCATTAGTGACTAGCCTTTATCCTGAAACCAGAGGCCCTTTACGTAACCAGCTACACCATTGAATGCTGCATTTATCTTTTTTTTTTTTTTTTTTTAAGAATGTGGTTGGAACCATTGCCACAGGGCAGCTATTGGTATAGGAGACCAGACAGCATTGCTGTACACGTAGCTTACATTTTACAATCTCTATTTTTTTTTTAATACAATTTAAACCATGGGGCCAATCTCTACTGCACTGTCCCACTTTTCTCTTTAACTGTAAAATGTTCAAACTAGCAAAAAAAAAGTCAAGCCAATATGCAATTTACCAAGAAAACTGTAATACCTGGGAAAATATAGCTTATACGTGTACATTTTTCTGCTCAGTGCTTTTCATTTCTGATCATTGCTTCTAAACATGTTTTTAAAGTGGCCAGAACCAATATTCGCCATATTGAAAGTGTATATGCACAAGCAGCAATCAGGCGTAATAATATTCCACTTTATATGCTGCAGCTTCTAGACATTACTGCACAGTAAACCTGGGAGATTGGGACAATTGAAATGCCCAGTTGGCTGAACCTTGCTTTATTGGCTTGGCATACTTTCACTGGTGACTGCAATATACCCATGTGATGGCTTGGGGTGTTGGATACTAGTGTATTTTTTTTATTAAATTGTTGTTTTTTAGATCTGAATTTCTTAACGTTTATGTCCCAGCATATCACTAACCATGCAGGTTTTCCAGGTAAATCCAAGATGAGATAATTTAAGCACTAACACCACATTTTTGTTACTTAGTCATCACATCTTAGTGCCACTCAAGAGACCAAGTAGGGACTCACTGAGCAGTTTTGCATAAAAATCACCTAAATAAACAATTATTTTCACAGTAACCATTAATTCTCAACCTGCAGAAAAGACCATCTATGTCAGGGACCAGAGCTGTTAATACTTTTTTTTTTCTCTTGCTCTGATGACCAAGGAACACTTAAAAAAAAAAAAAAAAAAAAACAAAAAAAAAAACATGAGTTGCAAGTTGTTTCTAGGCATCTATGCATTACCTATTTATTTCTGTGGGTTTAAAGCCCCTTTCACACAAGTTGACTGGTCGAGTCCACCTGTTGGTTTTTTTAGATCCTCTATTGTCCTGTATTGTATTTAGCGACGGGTGTAAATGGACATGTAGGTGGACCACCTGCCAACATCTGATCCTATATGCTAAAAACAGACTGATGTGGTTCCACGTCCGTTTCATGTGTCCAATTTGAATGGCCATTGGGTGTAAACGGATAGGTGGTCCGTTTTACATCCAACTGCCCCATAGAACAGTAGGCTTTGACCATGTCCACTCTGCACATTCAGAGCGGACACAGACTTGTCATCTGCCTGTCCAGCGGGGATCATTGGACAGATGAGCAGGCGGATCCGCTTGGTGGAGTCAGCCTGTGAGAAAGGGGTCTTGACCTGATTAGTTGATGGCGGCTAATATAAGCACTTTTTATTTCACAATATGATAAATTAAGTCCACTCTAAT